CCCTAAAAAACTAGAGAGATGTACCTATTCGAGTGTGCTACCCAACAACCCTTTACGTTTTTTCTTCACTATTCACAACTATTCGAAGCTCTACTTCTTCATTTATTTTTACGCCCCCGTCTATACAATGTTTATTACTCATTTACTAGGAGGCGGGCTTCGACCCTGGAGAAAAAAATTTATTCGCACTCGGTTTTGGTGTGTGGTTGGTGGTTTTTTACTCTCGTGTGGTTTACAACACTCCTTCTTTCCTATCAAACACCAGAGGGTTCTTATCTCTCCTCCTCCTTTTCTTTTTATATCTTACTCTCTAGTATCACTTTAAATCGTCGGCACTTATCCCAACTACATGTGTCGCAAGTGCTGTAAAACTCTAAAACTGAAACTCAAACTGAATATTCGAATAGCACGAATAGTGAGTGATTTCACGCTTCGAATCTTCGATATAGTTTCGTTTCCCAAACATGACTTCCACGCTTCGAATCTTCGATATAGTTTCGTTTCCCAAACATGACTTCCACGCTTCGAATCTTCGATATAGTTTCGTTTCCCAAACATCTCACAGCAGCACTTGTGATCGCAAGTCGTGGCAAAAAACCCCAGCGAAAGGTCTTCGTGGGGACTGGAAAGGTCAGGATGTGTGGCTTGACGGGAGACTTGGCGAGCTCCTCATTCTTCCGCGAGCGCGTGGACTGTAAACACTAACTAACCCTTTCTCTGCTCTACACCGAAAAAATAAAGTCTTTTATTTTTAGATGCACGTGCTGTACCGATACAATTTAGGCCAGGGCTCTTAAACTCACGACTCGACGTGCTGTACCAACAAGATAAAGATATAGACCAAGGGTCTTTATCTCACGGCTCGTTGGCCAATTCCTATTTATTGAGGTCCATGAAAGTATTTTTTTTTTAGATACACGTGTTGTACTGACATAATATAGACCAAGGGTCTTTAACTCACAGCCAAAGATACCCGTGTTGTACCGATACGATTTAGACTAGGGGCCCCAAACTCTCAGCTCGCGGATCAGTGCCAATTTTAGGTCCACACAACGATATTTTGTGGTCGCTACTTTCAATCAAAGTTAAATGTGAGAGTGGCTTGTACATTTTCCGCACACCCACCATTTTGCCGAGATGTTACCCAAGGTTTATATACCATGTTATTTTGTTTCATCACGACTACCTATCGATAAAGATAAAGACGATAAGATCAGTTCTACTTTTAAAAAAACCCATCCAAAACAAACTTAAAAAACCCAAATAACCTAGTATGTAAGAAACTTCTTTTTTGTGAGAAATATTCTATGCGGCCCAGGCTCACTCTACCTTCAGTGACCTTTGGGTAATTTGAGTTTGAGACCTCTGATTGAGATCATTCAGGAGGTGGGTGGGCTTGGACCCTGCCTGTCGCCGTCAACTGGAGCTGAGAGGGATACAAGCAACACCCAATAATAAAAACCGAGACATTCGATAGAAAAAAAATTCCACACGGGAATCGAACTAGGTTTTATATGTGCGACGGCCAAAGTGTCTAACCACTACAACACAAACACCCGTCTTTTTTTTGTTTGGTAATGTTTTACGCCGCTCGCAACTGCATAAGGTCATATACAAGCGCCAAGGGGTGGATGTCAACAGAGAAGTCCAAACGGGGAATCAGGCTTACTCTGCTCACTGCTCACCTCTCTAGCCTCAACAGCACAGAGACACCAGCCTGCCAGACCTGCTTGGCGGGGATGGTTGGTAGGCACCACTAGCAGATTCTTCTTCTTTTTGTTTTTTCCTCTTGTTTCTGTCTTTTTGATTTTCTCTATCTTTGAACGAAATGACCTTTAGTATGTCTATGTGATTCTCTTTCCTCAAACGAAAGAAACTTAATTTGCGATTTAAAAAAGTAACTACAAAATTGAATGTTTGTTTTTTTTGAAAACCCGACGAAGATCTTAAAAATAAGATGGTATATTGACCCTTGAAGAGTTTGTGCCATTCCTTCGATGATCGCGAAAATCCAGTTTTGTGTTTTGTTGTGTTGTTGTTTGTTTGTTGTTTGTTTGT